TGAAGAACATGTCGAATCAGCGGGTCTGCCGTACCCAACCAAGGATCGAGCCAAAAACGAGTAGTCTCGCCATTACCTATTATCCACCGAAGTCCCGTCACAAATGTAGGCCAAATTTTTCGGAGGGCTTGCATCAATACTGAACCTTGCCCTCTAAAGGGAATGTCCAGGTTATTTGAGAAATCTATGCCGTACTTGGCCCATAGGACGCGGACCCAAAGAGAGTCACTTTTCGTTAGTAGCCCCCAACTTAACATCATGAGCAGGGCATTATTCATGCGGCGCAAATCCTTAATGCCCAAGCCACCCTCGTCTTTAGGTTTGCAAACATCCGACCAACTAACCAAATGTAATTTCCTTGTCTCCGTCGAACCACCCCACACAAATGCACGGCTTCGACGTTCTAGTCCGTCAATGGTGGCACACGGTAGTGGGGCCGACTGCATGGTATAATAAGGTAACGTACTGAGGACCGACTGGGTAAGGGTGACTCTTCCCGCCATTGACAAGGCTTTCATGCGCCACCTGGCTAATCTTGACTCCGCCTTTTCCAAAACGTGTGCATAAGTATTTTTGGTCACACGGCCATGAAAGACAGGTACACCCAAGTATTTGCCCAGGTTGTCTGTCCACTTGAAGTTTAGCACATCCGCCAGACGGCGTTGTTCATTAATCTCCACATTTTTGGAAAAATAAACAAGCGTTTTGTCCGAACTAACCTTCAGGCCCGAGATGGTGCAAAACTGATCAAGGGTTTGCTTCAGGACCGCTGCCTGTCCGTCCGAAGCCTCCAAGAAGAGAAGCAGGTCGTCTGCGAACATCAGAAATAGAACCGAGACAGATCTTCGACCAATGGAGATTGGTTTCCATGAAAGCCCTTCCACCATTCTGCATATCGATTGGGCCAGCCTCTCCATGCATAGGACAAATAGATAAGAAGAAATGGGGTCGCCCTGTCTGACCCCTCGGGTGGGTAGAAACTCCTCACCAAGGGTCCCATTCCACACCAGATTCATCGAGGCCGACCTAACACTAGCCATGATAGCCGTAATCAACTTGACTGGAAATCTGGCTAGTCGCAGGGTTTCTTCACTGAAGTCCCACCGTAGGTAGTCGTAAGCCTTTTCGAGGTCCACTTTAATGACCATATAGCCCTTCACACCACGATTACACCGCATAGAGTGTATCAGTTCTTGCGCCACAACAATGTTATCAACGATCTGTCTCCCCGGGACAAAACTCGCTTGCGCAGGGTGTATTAGGTGAGGTAGGGACCCCTTCATTCTATTTACCAAGATCTTGGTAAAGAGTTTGTAAATGACATTGAGCAGACTGATGGGGCGGAACTGCCGTAGAGAAGTCGCATTCTCTAGCTTCGGGATCAAAACTAGTAAAGTGCAATTCACTTCTTTGGGAACCGAGCCATCCCGCCACATTTTCTGAACGAACGCCCGTACTGAGGGGCCAACGGTTTCCCAATTCTTCTTAAAAAAGAGGGCATTTAAGCCATCCATCCCTGGGACTTTTAAAGAACCCATACTATTTAAGGCCGCAAGAATCTCCTCGTCAGAAATATCCTCCTCCATAGCCTACAACTCTGACGGCTCACATGTGGGAAAATGATTGAGCCCGTCCCCAGCTACATCCATCTGTGGCCCAGCCGTATAAATTTGGGAAAAAAATTCCGTTGCCATCCGACAAAGCTCCGGCTGGTCTGTGATATGGTTCCCATCGGCACCAACAAGTTCCGTTATTCGTCGTCGCCTTCTGTGGACTTTGAGCTGCTTATGAAAGAAGGAGGAATTCCTGTCGCCCAACTGCGCTCAATCCCTTGTTGATTTTTGAAGCAGGAGGAGTTCTTCTTGCATGATAACATCGTCCAATTCGGCCCTCAACTGTTGTTCTAATGCCACCAGGCTTTCCTTGAAGTAGAAGTTACGACATCGTTGAATACCGCCAATCCGCGCCAATAGCCTCTTCTTTCGAAGGAAAATGTTCCCGAAAACTGTAAAATTCCAATCCTGCGCTACTTCGGTGAACTTAGCAGCCGCCTCAACAAAACTAAAGGAAGGGTGCCACGTGTCTTGGAGCATCCCCAAAAAGTCCGGGTGAAGGAGCCATGCCGCGAGTAAGTGGAAGGGTTTCACTTCGTTTTGCTCAAAATGTTGACGGCCAAATCCAACAGTAGAGGCGAGTGGTCCGATCGTATTCTTGGAAGTAGGCGTACCCGTCCCCTCTGGAACTTGTCCAGCCAAGTCATGTTAGCGACAAAGCGGTCAAGTCTCTCAGCTACCCGACCATTAGGGCCCTCCCGAATCCAAGTGAAGAGGTGCCCGTCTGTATGTACCTCTTGTAAGCTATAATGGAAGAGCCAATCCGAGAACTCCTGACTGACATTGCAGAAATTAGAAGATCCCCCTATTTTCTTCGACCGACGGAGAAGGCAGTTGAAATCGCCACCGATAAGCCACGGTTCTGAAATGTTGGCAGCCAGAGATGCTAGGTCAGTCCACAAACTCCGCCTCATCCTTTCATTGGGACTCGCATAAATGAGTGTGATCAAGCTTTCCTCACCATTCTTGCTGGCCCTCACATGGATGAATTGTCTAGAGTAGCATAGCACTTCAACCCGTATAACATCCTTCCAAAGTAGCCAAATACCACATGAGAAACCCCGAGCTTCGATGCGGAAAGAGCAGTCAAACTTGCTATAACGAATAAATCTGTCTGCTGTGTCCCCACTAATACGAGGCTCGAACAATGCAACAACATCCGGCTTGTACTGATGAACTAAAGAGGAGAAGGCACCCCGAAATTCAGGCGAGCCAGCCCCTTGTACATTCCATGTGAAAACGTTCATTGATACAACTCAGTTACAGATGGCGCACCCTCCGTTAATCAAGGGACTGAACAGTCGAGACCGAGACCTCCTCAATGCCCATGGGTTCGCTAGAATCGGCCTCCCTGTCCACTAAGCGTCGGGGTGAGTTAGGCTCCGGCCATGGCTCCTGGAGATGGACACCATGTTCCCCCTCTATCATGACTGCATCTCCGGCATTGTCGTCATTGGGCAGTGGCGGGGACTCAAGTAGAGGGTTCGAGTGGCCCCTATCGTCGTCTACAATGATAGCATGATGCTTTGACGGGTCAAGTCCAGCTCCTACAAGGATCGGGCCGGGTTGGGACATAGATTGATCTTGTTGTGGAGATCCCGTAATGTCTGTGGTCGCAATTTGAATAGAGCCTGATCCATTCCTCGTTTGGTGGCCCACAGCCTTATTAGACCCGTTTCCATCAGACCCGATCATCTGCATGGTCCCAGAACTCCCTTCGCCATTTGTATTCTTAGAATGAAGCCGACCCTTCTTTTTGCTCGAAGCCACACGCCATTCTTTCTCGCCGCTAGCATTTGCTTTATGTACTGGAAACGTCGGTTCCTTCCCGGTTTTCGTTAGAGATTGAGCCCCAAATTCAAAGCTCGGAATCGTGTCCCTAGAGTCCGTCTTGTCCAAGATATCGAACCGCGAGCCCATTCCTTTGGGAGTGTGCATATTCTGTCCGGCCTGAGTTTTATCCATTCTTGGGTCACGCCGTGTATATGGCTTACGCGCTCGTTGGGGGACCTAAATCCACGGGCCGTATGGTGAGTCTTCCCCATCGGTCTCCTTTGCCCTTGGGGTCTCCGTATGTCCGTGGCCACCAACAGCATTCAATTCCCGACGAGGGGGAATGGTACCAGATTGGTTCATTGGCTCTGGAGGTGGTGTTCGGTGAGGGCAGCTACCACTGGAGTGCCCTATACGGCCGCATTGGAAGCATATGTTAGGCAAATTTTCGTAGACCACTCTTTGCTGTCGGCCATTGATGGCGAAATTCACACAAAGCGGCTTCGTGATATCCACCAAGACCGCGAGTCTCGTGAACTTTCCTCGGGTTAATGCTGCCGTCTGTTGATCTATCTTTACCACTTTACCCACGATCCGGCCTATCATACGGAAGATCTTTGTATGGTAGAAGTGGGCCGACATTCCAGGTACTCGAATCCAGGCTACAGTAGACGTGATTTGTTCCTGTGTCGCATCAAACGCAAGGGTCCAAGGCTGAACATGCAAATAGCCGCCCCCGATAACATACGGCCCACCAGTGAGAACCTTGACTGCATCCTCTTGGCTTCGGAGGTGGATGAGGTAAAAACCATTCTCCAGGTCCATCATGTTGCATCCCGCCATGAACGACCACAATTTAGACAGACGGTTATACAAGGACGCCATTGTGATTGATTCATCGAACAGCTTAACAACAACCACATGCTTCCATTCCTTTTTGAGACGATCAAAGAAGCTCTGTGCGACCTTGATTTCCGGCACCGGGCAGGATAAGTCGACAGAGACATCCTCCTCCCCCTCTACTGCTGCGTTTACATCCTCCACATTCAAGTCTACATGACTTCTGTCCTTATTGAGCATGTCCCGAAAAGTCCACCGCTTTGGAGGAGGATTGACAGTCAGTCGGTGGAACCGGATTGACCACTGGTGGAGACGGATTGACAACGGGGGTTGCCGGATTGGCACCTGGTGGTGTCGGTTTTAGGGCTTATTGAATCTCCATAGTGTCTTCGCTCCGCTTACGGGTTCTCGGCCTCTTGGACAGCGGGACGGAATTCGGCTCGAGGGGTGGGAATTCCACGTTGTGATTGATTGGAGTCCGTCCATCTCCAGGATTGAAGATAGCCGTGCCGGTCTGGCTAGCGTTTAGGGTTTCGTCGGTGTTGGTCGTCTCCATTTTTCGTCATCTTTTTTTTTTGGGATCTGAATCGAATTAGACCTGTAATTCGATTCATATCCCAAATTTATTATTTTTTCTTCTTCTTTTATTTTTTATTTTTTTTGCGGGTATATTTATCTAGTTTTAATTAGTTTAAACGAAAATTGTTGCAAGTCGAATTGTTTCTCTCTCCATTTCTGCTCTCTCTCCCTCTCTCTCTCTCTCTCTCTCTCTCTCTCTCTCTCTCTCTCCATTTTCCACACTCGTTTCCTTTCTCTTTCATCACTGCCATTTTCATGTCTCCCGTTGTCGTTTCGCTCTCGTTGTACTCCGACATCGTCTCGAGCGAACGGCACTGCTTCATCCTCGCCGGCCTCTTCTGCTCTTTCATGACGTCCTATGCGCTTCCATTCTCAATATGACTGATCTTCAGGTTCTTCTTTTTTTCTTTTGTTTCAATTTCTATATTTTCGGTATTTTTGCGACAATCGATGACGTTCATACGAAACTCATGCTGAGAAGTCTTTCTTTGGAGTTGTGTTGAGGTTTAGCTTTTTCGGAGGTTTGAGCTGCCACAGATATTGTGGTGTGCTAGGGTTTTGATTGGATATATTATGAAACTTTAGAGGGTTAAAGGAAATGTCAAAATGTATTTCAGAATACAATGTCCCAAATGCATTTGAAAACAATTGTAGTGTAGAGCTATATTGGGATGGTGTTGGTCTCAAATGAATGACAGGCTTATTAGAAGCTTCGGTGAAATATTCTTACTTTTATTTTTTTCGTAAACAGTTTATTCTTTGTGTTACATGTTTTCTTTGAGGCGACAAACGGAAAAGTAACAGAGAAATTAAAGACTTCAGTAGTTAATAGGAAGTGTTTGAGAACTCCAATGTTGTTTTACATTCAGATTTAGACATAAAAAATAAATCTTAGGACATAAATTTGATAAATTCTGTCGATTAAAGATCAAATCAAGATATAAAAGGGATAAAATTGTAACATTAAGTTGTTATTGCATAGTTTATGGAAGCTTTCTACTGCAAAATACAAGGAGTTATTTTGAAATTTCATTTTGTTTGTTATTTCTTTTAGTTATAATATATATTGGGCTTAACCTAGGTATAAGAATGTTATAACTTGCAATTGCAAACATGAAATAGTGTTTATTTGTGGCTTGTAAAGATTTTCATGAAGAGTGTCGATAGTTCCTTTACAAGCGCGTTGCACAATGCCGGGGTATTATACACACAAAGTAGTGGCTTGGTCTCAAAACAAAATAGGCGACCCAGCAGCCAAAACATAGTCTGATCATATTAACAATACCCTTGCTTATTTATGTTAGTAAAAAGAAATAGGTTAGACAATTTCATAGAAATGGCCATCTCCAATTACATACTTAAGAAAATTGTTTTAGAAAACTAGAGAGATAAGACCGGAGTGATACATCATCAATTTTGTGCTGCTAAACAAGTTATGTATTCATTTTTCTCCATTGAATATGTTCTAATATAAAGTTGAGAGTAAGTGAGATGCACCAGAAAAAGATTTATTTTGATGTGCAGGTTCAGCTTTTCCTTTGTTGATTCCGACCTTATGACACATACAACGAATGAGTTAGTTTATTTTCTTGAAGATGTCACCTCCTTTTTAGAAATGATTCTGAAGAATTTTTGTAATGTTTGAAACAGTTCAATTCATTGACTTCCCAATGTACTGAATGCTCATGTGTTATGTATACGATTCCACCTTTCCTTTTTATCTTTCAAGAGTATATGTTTTCGAGTTATTGTGAGCTGGTTAACTACATTTTATTTCTGAAATCTGTTAGTTACTGCTAGTGAACCTGCTGTTTATTCCATGTGGACTTACACACGAGATAATAACATCTTTGGACTATCTTCTATGTCAGAATCTTTGTATTTTTCAATTCCATTGATTAGTGATGGACATGTTTTTTGGGGTTCAAACAGTTAGCTTGTTTAGTCTATTAATTGTCGCATATTGTTTCTCTCCAGATGCTAATATTTGGATCATTTACTGAAGAGGAGGTCAGATCCATGCAGTGCATAAGCAAGCCACAAAATAATGATTCAGAAATCACATTCGGTTCTTTGGATTCAGAAACTTTACGATCTGTGGGCATTGTCAATAATAGAGTGACTTCAGAGCTTTATTCACCTAGAAGCCATGAGCAGTCTATGCCCGTTGATACAACAAAATTTTCTGGTACTGAAAGTGCGTTGGGTTTAGAAGATGTTTTTTCGAAGGAAAATGGAGGCACCATTAGCACACATCCTGGTGAGAGTGGTGCAGAGGAACTGAATTTAGGCTACATAGAGTTGCCTGAATCTGTAAGTTATGGTAGTGAACCTAAGTTTTCAACCAACTTGTCCTTGGAGAAGCCAGGTATCCACAGTGTGGGTGAATTATATTCCTCCTTAAAAGAAGTTCTGCTGGAAAACTCTGCAAATGGAGTTCACAAAGTGGAGTCCTATAAGGGTATGTTCAAGGAATTGAATAGGCTTAAGGTTATCCACAGGACTTTTTTGCCTTGTGGTTTAGTCAACTTGGGCAACCTGTGCTTTCTGAATGCGACTCTCCAGGCTCTATTATCTTGTTCTCCCTTTTTTGACCTCTTATATGAGTTGAGGAATCGTGATATACCTGAGGTGCTTGTAGAATCAATATCTGCTACATACATTTACTTATCATACATGGCAACTCATGACTCATGAGCATTGTATTTTTCTTGTCATTGTAGGTTGGTTATCCAACATTGCATGCATTTGCTGAATTCATCTCCAACTTCAACATATATAACGGAGAAATTAATGAAAGGGATGAAAAGTCTATTCTAGAAACTGGAAAGCCATTCCAGCCTATCATGTTCGATTCCATATTGAAAAGTTTCACACCTGATATTCCGGATAATTTATCGGGCAGACCTAGGTTTGTGTCCTTTATTTCCAATTTATGTACAGTGGGTCAGTTTGCATTTTTCTCCTTGATTTTTATACGGGTCAATGTTTTACTCTCTCTCTCTCTCTCTCTCTCGCCAATTTTAATGGGGTTAATTAACGCAGCTGATGGCTGGATTGAAGTTGGTGTATGAAATAACATAGTTTTGTTTTTGTTGACATATGATAATTGTTAATTATATTTGGCATACACTTTCATTGCGGAAACCTTACAATCAGTACAAGTGTGATCCTTTGAATTCCCATCCTAGACTCCTAGTGTCATGGCACTGTAGATTTTTCCTGAAGTGATTTCCTTTTAGAAAATATGATTTCCTTTGACAGCTCTAAACCCGTTGCTTCTCGAATTAGTCAAATAAAATTTTGATGAGATGTAAAATAGTTTCACGTTTGTCCATTGCAAATGGAGCTGGAAGAGTCATTGTTGACAATTCTCCTGGCATAGTGCTAATAATGGACTAGATCAAAATGGCTCAATTAAATTCTAGTGCTTCTTCTATTAGTGAAGTTTCTAGAAAAAAAAATATATCAAACGGCCCAATGCACCTTGGGTCGCTACGGAAACAGCCTCCTTGTATAATTACAAGGGTAAGGTCTGCGTACAACTGACCCCCCAGACCCCAACCTGTTGGGAATATACTGGGTATGTTGTTGTTGTTGTTGTTGTTGTTGTAAAATAGTTTCACGATTTTATGCTCAGTGAAGGAAGGTCAGTTATAGGTTTGTGTTATCTGAATGTCTATATATTTGTTCCTTTAGTTGGTCAAGCTTTGTTGGCTGTGTTACAAAGACAATTCTAGAGGTACAGTTCGAGTCTTAACAACCGTCTAGTGTGATTATTCATGTGCTTACTAATGACACTTTCTGAAAATTGGTTACCCCTAACTGAATCTAAAATGGAAAGTTAGATCCTTCCCGTGTGATTGATATGTATGTGTGGATTGTGGTCATTTCTTAAGCATTCCTTTTCTTCGATGATAGTTTATATATTGTGTAAGCCACCCATTTAATTCAACTAACTTGATTACAGCGTTTAATTGTCAGCTCATTAATATGTTTGAAATCCAATAAAAATATATTTTTTGACTGGGGGGGTTCTGCATTTCTTTCAGGCAAGAAGATGCTCAGGAGTTTCTAAGCTTTGTCATGCATCAAATGCATGATGAATTGCTTAAACTTGATGCACAAGTTTCAAATGGGAATGGAAAAACTGCGTCGTTGGTCTCTTCAACTGATGACGAAAGTGAGGATGACGATTGGGAGACTGTTGGCCCAAGAAACAAAACTGCAGTTACACGAACTCAGAGTTTCGTACCATCAAAGTTGAGTAACATTTTTGGTGGTCAATTGAAAAGTGTTGTGAAGGCAAGAGGTGGGTCAGGGTTTTGAACACACAATTTACCAAGTATACATTCAAACATTTCATCATTAATCATTCATTTATTACTTTGACTTTGCAATGATTTCAATCATGGGATTGTTAGCTACTCAGATTCGATCATTTGTCAAACTGAATTAGGTCAGATAATCTGTGTAAGGCTGTGATCTGATTTATCAAAACAATGATGTAAATTTGACAGTTGGGAAGCACTTCATGATGCATAATGTGATTTATCTCGTAGGTTTTAGAATTTTTAATCACATAAAATAAGTAACCTCTGAAACTGTAGATAATGTTTTAGTGACTCCAATCTGTTCTGACCTCATCTCTAGCTAATATTCTTGTTGCCACTTGCCAGTCAATTTATATGTACCATTCACAACTTTCATCTTGTATTTAAGCAGGTAACAAGGCATCAGTTACCATACAGCCATTTCTTTTGCTCCACCTTAATATATGCCCTGAACAAGTGTGTACAATAGAAGATGCACTTAAGTTGTTCTCTGCACCAGAAACACTTGAAGGGTACAGAACATCTGCTTCTGGAAAGGTTCGTCTTATTTTATGTGTTCCCTTTCCTTTTTGACACATTGATATTATTGTAGGGCTTCCAATAGTTTTGTTGTGGAATGATTTCCTCTTTTGCTTTATTTTTGTATTTCCGTTTCTCGTATTCTGTATGCTACATAGAAGTGAGATTTTTGCTTTAAGTAATCCATTGGAAGAAAATGTTTAGCACATCGATTGTCGGTACCTTCTATGGCGTTAGGGGTAGTTATCTATTTTTTCATGTGAAAACCTCAGAGTTTGCTATGAAGAACCATGCCATGTAGATTACCCATTTAGATTCAACTATGATTTTAATATTCAGGGAGAGGTGGTGACTGCCAGCAAGTCGGTCAAGATTCTGGAGCTGTCCCAGATAATGATTTTGCACTTGATGCGTTTTAGTTATGGGAGCCAAGGAAGCACGAAATTGCACAAAAGTGTGCATTTCCCTTTGGAGTTTCTTGTTGGTCGTGAGTTGCTTGCCTCTCCTTCCTCTGAGGTGAATTTTCTTTGAAGTGCCTGCTTCCTCTTTATCTTGTTAAATCACATGGCAATTATTAATACTGACATTTATATCCTTTTTTTTTTTACATTTTGATTGTGTATACTGTTTCCTTTCCTTTCGAAAAAGCTCTTCGTTTCTGCATTTTAATTTATTTTTTGATCTTATATATGTTTATGCTGTCAACCACTCACAGTTTCAAGCAAATGCTTATTACCTGAGAAGGAAAGGAAAACAAACATTCTTTTGAGGCAAAATCAAATTGTTGAGAAGTTGTGTTTCAGTTTCAAAACAAAAAAAATTGGCTGCATAATATGCCACTTTTCTCCTCAAATACTCACTTTTTAGCTTTTGTTGACATAACATTGAACCACTCAGTTTTTTAAGAAATGTATGTTTTTCACTAACCTTATTAGATGCATTTATCGTTTACGACTTCCTATTGTCATTCGATCATTCCGCAGTTCTCGAGGGTTCACTACCTGTCATGATAAATATTACATTCCATTATGATGCTAAATTAAACAATATTTTTTAGACGTAATCTTCTCTAATAGCCTATATTCTGTTTTTTTGTGGTATAGGGTAGAAAATACGAGCTTGTGGCTACCATTACTCACCATGGACGAGATCCATGGAAAGGCCATTACACTGCTGATGCACGGCACCCAAGTGGCAAATGGGTACGTTATGATGATTCATCAGTCACACAAATAACTGAAAGCAAGGTGCTTCATGACCAGGCATATCTTCTTTTCTACAAACAAGTTTAGTCTAAAGCAAAAATGCATTTACGTCACAAATTCTTTGTACATTGTGTAAGGCTGTTTAGATTCATAATCTGAGTATAGAATCGAGCAATATCCAACTCGTGGAGGAAAAAAAGAAGGGGTATTTGTGCTGTAGACCCGCCAGTGAAATTGTGGGATGAGATATATACTGAAATAGCATTACCTGTGTAGGAAAATGTTGGAATTTGGAGATTATTAGGTGAAAATGGCTGGAGAATATGTAGCAGTTGTATTTGAGTCTCTGTAAGTGCCTAAACAGAAAAGTGTTTAGAAGAATTTCAAGGCTCCAAAGTTCCTCACTAAACGAACCATCCGCGAATAAATTATTTGATTTTAAAGTTTCTGGCCAGTGTTTTTTCAGTATATTTTCTTATCATTTACATTTCATGTACTCTCAAAAATTCATCCTCTCCTCCTAACATCTCCTCATTCTCTAAATGGAGTTGTATTTGATACCTCCTTTTACTGGATAAACTGGAATAAAATTGGAGATGTGTTTGGGTCTTGAATGTATTATAATTTACTATCCAAATTAAATGAGAATAATTCTCACTGTGCTACAATTATCAGGGCGTAGAGCATGATGTGATGCAAAGAACATCATTATTATTTTTACCTGTAATCTTTAAATGGGTCGTTTCTACGATATCTTTCTTTCAACTTATCTTATTTTTGCTTTTGGCATCCAAAATTTTACTTAATCGAAACATGGCATAAAATTGGACAATGAGAGTTCACACATCAAATTGGACAACCGAGTTACTGGAAATCGTCGGTTGAAGTATTCGTCCCACAGTCTCGCGCTACCGGAAATTTAGAAACTTCACTTGTGTTTTCCTGACAATTTAAAGGTCCGATCAATGATTGGGATATACCATTGGATTCCTTCTGAAAAAAGTTTTCTGTACATATAAGTTTCACATATATCTAACGGTTGGGTCTTTAGTGACATTCAAAAACAATTCCCTGCATAATTCTTTGATTTTTCAAAACTCTAATAAAGATTTGACAAAATTTGAGGTATCATATGATGAAGTTAAACATATCTTTGGATAAATCGAGTCGAGAGCTTCAACATGATATATGATTTGCTAAAATTCACTAATAGTAGACGAATGACGAATGGCGGCTAATGGTGTGTGTGTGCATGTTGGTGTGTGTTGGTGTGTGAGAGAGATGGGTTGTGTGTGTTGGTGTGTGAGAGAGGATATGGTTGGTGTGTGTCCATAATGCCCTTGATGAATGTAAAAAAATTGCTTGTTTTCTTACCGTTTGATTATTCGATCTGATGGCTACGCTTTATTCTTATTTTGAGCACTATTCTCACCAAAGCGCAACCCTATATATAACCTCGTTTTATAACAAAATGACTATCAGCATATATAATTTAATAAGTCATACCAGACAAAAAGTACACTACAAACATAAATTTCAAATTGCAATAAAAGTCTTGCAAACACTGAAGCATTAAAATGAATTTTCAAGTCCTGCAAACACTGATGCATGTTGAAATAAATTTGCATCGAATAAGAATACTGAGAATATAAAATCTCCTCTCAAACACACTGAAATCAACAATCCTGTCTCTAGAGAAGATAGTGTAGGAGAAAATAAAAAAGCAGTGGTTGGTAAAAAGAAAAACAGAGTACTCCTAGAAATATTGGAAAAGTTCCAAAGCTAAATTTACTGCTTTCACGAGCTCAGCTGCCTCAAGTTGTACTTGGCCAATTCTTTGTACTTCTCCACTATTCCAATCAAGCACACAGTCTGAAGAAAAAAGTGTACGTCGGATCATTTAATATACAACAAACAAGAAATAAAGTTACATTAGGCACAAAACAAGCGTGCGGTTATGATGGATTTCCCAGAATGGCCAGATCCATCACTTTTGGGTGTGAATATGATTACTTTTATGAAACAAAGAAAATTTTGTGTTACGGAATTTGAATCTTTTATTTCCCATCAATCAACAAAAATGAGGATAGCAGAAATTATAACGATTAGATGATGTGTGGAGAAGCTAACTAAAATAAAATAAAAGAAGTAGTACATTAGGGGAAAAAAGTGGGGGCAATGCATGTAAGTAAGAGAAGAGATGACATCTTGACTGAAAATGGTGCCATGATATGAGCCAAGATAGCCTAACCACACCAAGAGGCAAGGGTTTTTCTTGTAGCTATTGAGAATTGATAAAAAAAAAATATTTCCCCTTACCTTGACAACTTGGACCATTATGTAAAAATCAGGATTGGACCGATCAACTTTATGCAGAGATGGAACAGTCTTGACAACAGTGTCAATAATTTTGGCCCGATCGACACCAGTATTTGCGCGAACATCATATAACACTACAAACTGAGATGAATAATAATCATGAGTGATATTTTTATTATTATCTCCCTGGGTTAATTTTATTACAGCAAGGCATGGGGCTAATGCACCAACAAGCTACTAATAATTTTATTTTTTATTTTATTTATTATTATTATTTTTTTTTACATTTACCAATGTCAACTTTCATAGTTTAATCAGAACTGTCGAAGGATGTTTGGTTTTGGATCTTTATTTTTTTCTAATAGTTCTGAATTTTGCACACAGTGTACTCTTACAATACAACTTTAATTCACGAAAACAATATTCACTAGCTCAAGTTTGAGCTGCTAATTTTCAAACACTGCCAACTTCAGATTTTTGAAATCTTTCCCTTGCTTCAAAATTCACCACCTCCAAAAGCAAAGCTTTAGCAGAAACTCACTAAGAGAAGTAGGCAATTATTTGCAATAAATAATGCCTAAGATTTTCCCTGGCTAAGTTCATTCACAGAGATAGAACCCTCTCAATCAAAACTTACAATTGTGGTGGTTATTCTTTTGATTGTTGAACGAAACAAAACTAATGCTCAAAATTTAACAGTCATACCTTACGCGGGGCCTCAGTTTCTACTGGACAATGCTTCTCAATCAGAGGCTTTATTGCCCGCTTGATTTCCTCCTCTGATGTGTAGCATGATACTTCAACTGGAAGCACTCTCAACAGAAACCTGTTTTCATGACAGAATTTAAGACACATTATAATAGACTGTTGACACTATACTTGGGAGAAAAAAAAAAATGGGTTCAAAGAAGAAGACATGAAAGCAAAAGAACCTGGATATGTTTTTCTTGGTTGAAGCAAGAGAAGTCATCATATGTTGGACAATTTCCTTTGGGCTTGGATCTCTCTCTCTCTTGTGCATTTGAATAAAGATAACACCATTACATCCTGTGTCGAGCTTACTGAAACGCCTCATCTTAAACAAAGCCCATGAATCTATTATATTAGCCCATGTAATATGCCTGACCATTAAGGGAGAATATAACAGTACAAGACTTAAGAGTCAAAGCACATTAAAGACTTATTTTGGATTATAGCTTTCGTTTAACAAACTGTTAAAAGAAATAAGTGTTTTATGAATGCACCATGCAAAAAGTTGAACAATATCCTCATAAATCAGAAAATAATACACCAACTGTACCAATATCAAGACTTTGGGATTTGCAGTTAAACAACACCAGTGGTCCATCCTGTTATACTCGAAAATATTCTAGCTTTATCATTGAAAAATACAATATAACCCCTTAAGGTGCTACCTGCAGTCATTATTAACCAATTGAAATAAACGCTGAAGCCCATTTTTTGTTGCATTGTAATTAACCCAACAGTAGTCCACTTAAGTTATGTGTATAAATGAAATAACAAACAAGACTCGATCGAATTTTTTTTAAAAAAGCATAAGTTTGGCCAAAGAAGAAAACAAACACAACATTCACATTCAAACTCACCTTGCTCTTATCTCCTAATTCGGCTAGCTCAGCCTCAATTAGCCTATCAACAGATTTATCTTCTACACATTGTCTCTTTACAGGTGGTTCCACAGCTTCTGTTTCTGTTTTTTCACGAACATCAGCTAGCTTCTCTTTCTCTTTCTCTTTCTGTGCTTGTTTCTCAAGTGACAAATCATCTTTAATTTCAGCCCCACTCTTTTCATTTCCATCGCCACTTGACGTAACAATATTTTTGTTATCAGCCTCATCACCCTCTGTAGTTTCATCCTCATCTTTTTCGCTACTGGATGAATCTGAGTAAGAGAACTTTGTTATTTTGTCAACGGGCTTTCCAGATAGCCCCTCATGTCCAGCTTTCGGCTCTCTACCTTCCATAAGCTCTTCGTAAAACTGCAGAACTCAAGGATTATGTTAAGGATAAAGTCTTGTTTCACTTCATTCAAGATCCAAAGCAAAGAAATGAATCAAATGAATCATAACCCTCTAAAATTTATATTCAAGGTAGAAATTACATATCAAAGCATTAAACTTTTACCCTAGGGGGAACACATAAACAATCAAAATGGAGGCAAAATATGAGATAAATTAAGGAAAAAATTAGAGTCTACTGATAAAACTAATCAATCACGGAAAACTAAATACGAAAAGGATTTTAATTCAGGACATTTTATTTTATCAGCAATTAATAGTGGAAGGGGACAAAGGGGCGATATTAGAAACTTCAAATTTGAACCATTTAAACTGACCAACCCAAGAAAACAACGACATAGTTAAGTCTGTTAAATTCAGGCAAAAGACGAAATCGAAAATTCCTAGAAAGCTGCTAAGCTCGGGCACGCACAGAGTCGATAACATTGATGGCTTCATGCGAAGCTTGGCGTTCTCTCCCAAGATCACAAGTTATGAAGAACCCTTCAACGCCAGGACGTAAGGGGTAAGAATCCTTTTTGATTGGCTTCTGGAAAAAAAATGGGGAATCATTTAAAAATATTCTTGTCAGTTGACATTTGTATGAATGAGTGGAAAAATCAACACAGCATAACGAAGCAGGGAGGATACATTGTGAGGCAGGTAATTCTTTCTTTTCTTGTTATTTTTGTTGCAGTTGCTTGCCTTGGATTTGTTCTCGGTCGCCATTGAAGGAGTTACACGGAGAGTGAAGAGAGAAGCTTTCGAACTGTTGAGCAGTTGAGGTTTACTGTGGGGTGGGTTAATATTGGGCTCGTGTATGGTTTGATTCACTAGACATAAAGCCCAATGACCATCCTCTTTTACTCGAGAAAAAAGGCTCTTTTACATTTGTATCGTGGATATACATAGAGCTGCAAACGAGTTGAGTCGATTCAAGCATTGGTCTTATCGAGCAGGATTGATTTTTTTTAGCTGCTCGAGCTCGATTTATGAGGCTCGAGCGATAAAAAATTACAATAACTCGAGCTCAACTCGAAATCACAATGCTCGAGCTCGGCTCGAGTTTGACTCGAAAATTTTTAAGTAGAAAAGTAAACTTACCATTAAGCACCTATGCTAATATATATATAAAGGGTTTTTAGTAATTTAACATATATCTTGAGTCGCTCGACAATGCAAAATATGAGCTCGAGCTCGAGTCGAGTTCGTGCTTGAGCCGCTCAAGCTTGACTCGAAATCAGTCAAACTCAAGCTCGAGTCAAGCTTTGACTCGAGCGCTCACAAGTTGCTCGGTTCGTTTGCAGCCCTAGCTATACATAAAAAAAAATGCAAGTTTACATAATTCTAAAGTTATTTACAAATCACACATGTACTAAAATAGAGAAAAATAATTAGATAATTGCGAAATGCAAAAACACTGCATTAAATAAATAGTTTCCCAACTAAAATGCGTAATTTAATGTTGCACCATGATAAAAGTGAATACCATAATTGAAGGGATTTACCTACAAAAATCATCACTAAAAATGCTCTCTCTCTCTCTCTCTCTCTCTCTTCTATATGTTGTGTGAAATTGAGTTGGCAGGAGCGGACGGCGAACTCCAGGCGGTCGTCCAAGAGGTTGGTAGAGGGTCGGGGTCGAGGTAGCCTAACCGGTGGAAGTAGGACTTGAGTCAGTCCAGGTTGGCGGTATTCTCGCCTTCTTGCAGCCAATGAGTTTGGCGGATGCGGGATGAGGGAAGAAGGGATGACAATGATGTTTGGGTAGAAATTGGCAGCAGCGGGGCAGATGACGATGGAGAAGACGACATCGATAAGGAGAAAGAGAGAGAGAGAGAGAGGGAGAGAGAGAGAGAGAGAGAGAAGAGATGGCCGATAAATTCCACTGGCTAAAGAATATTTTCAGTATGTGTTGTGTTTATAGTCAGTATATTTTCAGCTTATGTTGCGCTTTTATTTACATAACATTTATCGAATCACAATTGTGATGTTTGGATTTTTTTTTTTATATTATTAATTATTTTTATACCAACAATCTATACAACATTGACATATAAAACACTTTATAAGCACTTTTTTCAGGATGTTAATATACACACATATATAATATTATATTTTTTTTTTTGTTCAACCAAATTTCTGTTTATACTTAGTTTATAATACGGTTAATTCTTCAAAACTCCCCAATGTACAATTCAACTTCCTTGTCAGTCCCCACCACATTTAAACTTCCTCTGAACTCCCTAAATCTAATTTCTCTTTCCAAATCACTCCCTATATATATACTACTCTTATTATTATTCACTTATTTTTCTCTAAAATCATAAAAAGTTCTCGTCTCTCTCTCTTGACATCTTCCTCAGCTCTCTCCCTCTTCCCGTCTCTCTCTCGCCGGTCTCTCAATTCCCGTCTTTCTCTCTGAAAATTCCATCGCTCTTGCCTCCCTTTCTATCTTTTTTTTTTCTTTTTTTTTTTAGGACGTTCGTCTCCAATTGAAAATTTCATCGCCATCGCATATCATCTCTCTTTCTCTCCGGGAAACCCTCCGTCTCCGACCAAAAATCCACGAACACAATGACGGGGTCGAAAAAGAAATCCATATCGGATAAACCATCTTCCTCTTCTAAATCCGTAAGCAAGGTGAGATTCTTTTACAAAATATTTGATTCTATTGAACTCGAAAATTTGGGAATTCTTACAAAATTTTGATTTTTCTCTTGAATTCGATGTTTTTCAAAATTTGGGATTTTTGTTGATGGGATTTTATTGCTAAATTAGGGACCGCTGAAGATTCCAAGTTCATCGAGGCCTGGAAGAAAGTGATGCCGAATATGGATCCACCGAAAACCCCCTAGGCCTACATGGCTCCTCGCCCGCCGACCCCATCCACAATCCCCTCAAAGCTGACCGTCAATTTCGTTCTTTCGTACAATTCCGTGTTGTCCGGCAAAGAGGTTCGCTCTCACATACTCGCAACCCTTGAGATCTCTTTTCTTTTTTCTTTTTTTCTTTTTTTTTTTATTTCCATTGTATAATTTACATTTCGTATTTCTGTTGCTGTGTCTTGTTTTAATGTATAAAACTTGATATTGCTCTTGTTCGGAATTCTTTTAAGAAGCAAATTTGGTCTCTTGTTTCTGTACTTTTTATATTTGCCAAATTTTTGGTGTGGTATATATTATCTTGTAGTGGACGAAGTTCTATTCATCTTTTGGTGGCCAGAAAAAGTCTAGTGTTTAGATGAATTTTAAGGAGAACTTGAGTCATGCAATCACAATTTGTCGTTGATTTCTCTCTGAACCAAAACACTACAGTTCCAGAAGTTCTAAGCTGCTAAAGTTTGTATAAGTGCATCTAAGATATATTGGTATTGATCAACTCTTGGTTAATTTTCCATAATTTATCTTAAAAGTTGTATTAACTAACCAGTGTCATGGTTAACTACTCAGAATTATTCTCTAGTCCTGTGTTATTCTTGGCTGGCATTGCACAACAACTTTTAGAACTTGGAAGCACCATAAGCTCATTAATGGTTGATTTTTTATATCAATCAGAACCTTAAGGAACATTCTATTAGGACCTATCAAGCTGCTGTAAATTATTCAGATACTTGAAATTTCATCTTTTAAATTTCAATTGTGGCTCTGGTGCTGCCTAGTTTGTTTTTGAAGGATGCAACTCATTTTTATTTTTCCT